TGGGGACACCTGGAGCGGCCGCTCGGGCCGGTACCGGGGTACCCCGGGAGCCCTTGGGCTGGGACTGCCCATTCGGGCCGGTACCCCCCACCGCAGGCCCGGATGCTCGGACAGGGGGTTCGAAGCGGGAGTGGGCCCCGGTGGTCGGTAGCAGGCCTGGAAGCAGGGACTCCGGTCTCTACCGGGAAGAGGAGGGTCACCAAGGACCCCACAGGCCGGGACCGGAGCTGGTGGCTGGCTGGGGAGGTGGGGAGGGCTCCTCGATCCCGGTGGGGAGCGTGACTGAAATGGCGGTGGGGCACGGGGCTGGGCTCCCGCCCCATCCGGTAACCGGCAGCGGAGTGGGGTGCAGCACACTGGGATCCGGGGCAGTAGACAGATAGAGCTGGGCTTATCCCTCCCATGAATAGCTGTCCTCTCCCTCCAGGTGAAGGAGAACAACTACCGGGGCCATGGGGACAGCGTGGATCAGCTCTGCTGGCACCCCAGCAACCCTGACCTCTTCGTCACGGCATCCGGGGACAAAACCATCCGCATTTGGGACGTCCGCACCACCAAGTGCATTGCCACTGTCAATACCAAAGGTGAATCCCTGCCTTCCCAGGAGGGCTGTTGGGTCCCAGCAGAACTTCTGCTGCGTGGGACCCGTCTGCAGTGGCATAGTGCTTTGGACCTTTCTTGTACGTGTTGGCGATCAGGGTGTCTGCTTTTGTCTTTGTGTTGCACTCCTCTGTTAAGAGCAGCAGTGAACGTGAGCGCTGATTCACTGTGGTGTCAAGACTGGAGAAACTCATGAAGTATGATTCCGGCTGTTAAAAACTCCTGTGTACTTGTGTCTGGAGTCTGGGTGGCAAGGCTGGAGCCTGAGGAGAGGCATGTTTGCAGAGGGCCATGGTGGAAGTAAAAGTTTGTGTGGATTCAGAAAGTGATTATTCAAATTCTTGGATTGGTTAACCCAGATACCATCTCTGCCCTTGAAAATCTCAAATTTTTAATTGGCAGGGCCGGAGATGGTGTTGTAAGATGGCAAACAGAAATCTGCCTTGTTCTTCCTGTTGTTCATATGTATTTATTGTTGGCTTCTGCTTGTTCTGGCTCATGAAGATCACTGGGTTAAAAGAATCTTTGAGCTGACCTTGTTTGGTGGTTGCTGCAGTCCCATCTTGGCTGAAATGGGAATGGCAGTGAGGTAGTCATGTTGGCTTGAAGCTGTTAAGTTTAATTTTGAATAACTGTACATGTTTTCTGGACAGCTACTGTATAGGGTTTGTGTGTCAGACTGCAGACCTGACAGTCTTTCCTGTTTGGGAGTGGTTTGAAGTTCGTGGAGCAGATTGTGGCCTTGGATCAGGAATAAAAGCTGCCTGTCTGGTTAATTCATTGCTGCTGTGGATTGTTGGGTGGAAAAGGGACCTGCTGCCTTTCTGTCCCTCCAGGGGAGAACATCAACATCTGTTGGAGCCCTGATGGACAGACCATTGCAGTGGGGAACAAGGATGATGTGGTCACTTTCATTGATGCCAAGACGCATCGCTCCAAAGCTGAGGAACAGTTCAAGTTTGAGGTGAATGAGATCTCCTGGAACAATGATAACAACATGTTCTTCCTCACTAACGGGAATGGCTGCATCAACATCCTCAGGTAGGTGCCCATGGCAGTGGGTGGGCAAGGTAGCTGGGCTGGCTGTGGCAGATGTCATTCTGCAGGCCCCTTTGCTGCTTTTTGGGAACCTGAGACCCACACCCCTCTGGTGGGAATGAACTTGCGTAGAGCTGAGGTTGTCCAGTTCTGGGCTGGGCTCTCCAAGAGTGACCCTGATGCTTTGCCTCATTCACTCAACACTCAAGGTTTCCAAGAGCGTGGCCCTGCCCCAGCTTGGTTATCACAGTCCTGGTCCCACCTGCCCTACTTGCAGAGGAGCACTGTGCTCCTCTCACTGCCTCCTGCCCTCTCCCTTCATCTCCGCAGCTACCCGGAGCTGAAACCCATTCAGTCCATCAACGCCCATCCTTCAAACTGCATCTGCATCAAGTTCGATCCCATGGGAAAGTACTTTGCCACGGGCAGTGCTGATGCGTTGGTCAGCCTCTGGGATGTGGATGAACTGGTGTGTGTGAGGTGCTTCTCAAGGTAGGTAGTGACATCCCGAAGTCGTTTGCTTCCCCTCTCCGGTGACCGTGCAGGAGATGGTTCACTGTCTGCTTCACTCTGTTGCTGCAGGCTTGACTGGCCTGTACGAACACTGAGCTTTAGCCATGATGGGAAGATGCTGGCATCAGCATCGGAAGATCACTTCATTGATATTGCAGAGGTGGAGACAGGTAATGGTTTTGCTTTTGGGGAACAGCAAGGGGGGAATTGGATGGAGAAGTGCTGGTAGAGCTGGGAGGGCACTGGGAGTATCAGGCTGCTGAGGAACAGCTTGGCTGTGCAGAGCAGAGCGCCATGAGGGGGAGCCTTTGCCTCGTTAGTCTGTGGTAGACATGCGTGTCATGTCTGTGCCTTGTCACTGGGTGATTAAAAGGCGCTGAAGCAGTGTGTGTTCCTCCTCTGCCCTGCGCGTGAGAGAAGCAGGTGTTTGGCTCTGGTGTGTGCTGTGGGGCAGTGTGCTGACCTGGCAGGGCGTGCTGCGGGGCAAAGGCTGATGTGGCCCTTTTTTCATGCAGGAGAGAAGCTCTGGGAGGTGCAGTGCGAGTCCCCGACCTTCACAGTGGCCTGGCACCCGAAGAGGCCACTGCTGGCCTTTGCTTGTGACGACAAAGATGGCAAATACGACAGCAGCCGGGAAGCAGGCACCGTCAAGCTCTTTGGGCTTCCCAATGACTCCTAATGAAACCGCACCGGGGAGGCATCGCTTCCCTGCTCTCGGGGATGGGAGAGTGCTTAGTTAGTGTAGGATGGGGTAAGGAGATGGCTCCCCTCCTTGCCTGCTTGGCAGTGCTGCAACCTTTGGCTCAGCTCTGCATGTACTGCTCTCGGGAGCATTTATAAAGAAGCAGCTTGTGTGCTGGGGAGGACGGGAGGTGTTGGTAGCAGAGCTCCCCTTCTCAGGGCTGTCGCTGCCTCCTCTCTGGGGCATGGGGGGGCTTGTTCCAAAGGCAAGTGGCCAAAGAAAGTCAGTCACTGAAGGGGACTGCTGAGGAGCCTCCCGGGAAAGGAGCTCCAGGCTCACCAGCAGTGATAAGCTACGTGACTGTCACCTTCTGCCACGTGGCCTGGTGGCGAGGGCAGCCCTGGGAGCACAGCCTGCCCTGTCCCCTCCCAGTATCCCTTCCCCACGCTGGGGCAGCAAGGGGAGGATGGGGAGGATACGAAGTGGGGGATGTTTACCCCACTGGGTTTATCTTTTTTTTTTTTTTTCGATTTTTTTGTATGTGGTGTTTTTTTTCTAATTTTGATAAATCCTCTTCCGTAATGAAGGTGCCTGTGGCTGCTGTGGGGACAGAAGTGGGGTGCTGAGCTGCTTTCCTGTGAGCTCCTCTCCCTTCCCTTGTCTCCTTCCCCTTGGCTGTGGCAGGGCCCTGGCTGAGGGGTCTGTGTCGAGGGGCTGTCCCCCTTGTCCCCACTGCCTGTCCCGTGTCTGTGTCTCCTGTCCTGCTGTGTCACCCCACCAGGGGGCGCTGCGATCCCACGCTGGGGACAAGTGACACCAGGGACAGCGCACAGAGGATGGGGACAGTCGCAGGGACATGTCCCAGCCCTGTAACCCCGTCCCCGCCTGGCAGCACCCCGCAGGGATGGAGCAGGACCGTGGCCGCAGCAGAAGACAACGCCTGTCCCACACCACGGCCACCCGCCCCGGGCAGAACCCTTCCCTGCGCCCCTGCGAGGAGTGACAGGCAGTGCATCTCTAATCCCCACTCCCCAGGGAGAGCTGTAGGGCTTTCTGACCTCCCTGGCGAGCCAGGTCACAGGGGGGATGGTCACCGCAGAAGAGGTGTGGGTGCAGCCTGCCTGCGATGGAGACCTCGCCTGCAAGATCTCTATCATTTCCTACCCTCATATTTTCTTCTGACAGAGGCTTTTCCAGGTGACTGCACTGCTGATGCCGCCTGGGTAACAGCTGAGTTCTTTGCTGGTAAATGATGGCAAATCAGTCAAAGCCGAGGCTGGCTCCGGACGGAGGCCTCCAAGGGCTGTGCCAAGCCCAGGCACTGCCAGGGGCCCTGCCTGGCTGGGGGCTATGAGGTGCCCGTTGCTCAGGGCCTGCCTGTAGCCTCGTACCCCTGCTCTTGGGGGTGCAGAAGGCTGTGACCCACAAGAAACAGCCCTTGTACCCCAGGGGTATCCACCATCATTCTGTGAGGGGAGTCCAAGAGTCAGGGGGAAGGGGTAGAAGACCCCCTGTCATATCCATGGGATGGGGACCTACCAGCACCAACGCCTTTTACCTTGTCACCAGCTCTGGAGAGGGCGCCTGTAGGGTGGACACAGGGGTATGGGGAGGCAGCTGGACCGAGCAGGGCTCTGGGAGCCATGTCTGGCCTCTCCCTTCACCTTCCGTGCTTTTGGGTGCCACCTGGTGTGATGAGCTGCCGGGTCTCAGCCCTGAGGGGGGTGGAGGGGTGAGGGAGCTGGCGCAATGCCCCGGGGAAGCAATGGCTGAGAAGAGGCTGGAGCAATGTACAAATCCCTTTATTTTATTAGTTTGTCAAAGACTAGTTCGAGCAGGATGGTCACAGCATGTCTGCAGGGCCCCGAGCCGATGCCCCGGGGAAGCAATGGCTGAGAAGAGGCTGGAGCAATGTACAAATCCCTTTATTTTATTAGTTTGTCAAAGACTAGTTCGAGCAGGATGGTCACAGCATGTCTGCAGGGCCCCGAGCCGCCCACCGCCTCCCAGGGAGGTCCCCGGTGAGCGGCTGGGGGCTGTGGCGGAGGAAGCACGGGGGGAGGGGAGCACGGGGGGGCAAGGGGCG